GAAATAGCTCATGGAGCCAGTCACTAGTGAGCATATGATTATTATCAGAAGGGGGTTTTGTGAAGATTTTAGTGATTTTATATAGTTGAGATCATGCACTACAATCAAGTTAAAGGTATATTATTCAAAAACCTTTCATTCCTTGATTTGTGAAACACTGATATCAGAAGTAAAATGCCATTCGATAACGAAAAAAATAACTCCTTTGTATTTAATAAATATCAGAAAGTTTATATTATCAGATGGATATTTTGTTAAGATTTCTAACTAAAACGAAACAATAGAAAGAAACGGCCGTCCAGTGCTTCCAGGTTTTCCATGGTGGCCTAGCTTCAATTGAATCATGATCTCAACTATATAAAATTACTAAAATCTCCACAAAATCCCCTTCTTATTATGTCAGCGGTTAATACACTCTTACTCAATCAAGTAAATGCTCATAATAAACAAATGTAATTATTTAATATTATAGGATAAAAATGGATTTTTTTAAGGTCAGTGTAATGTGTTGTTTAATACCAACCTTTAAATTATTAATCTTATAAACCACGATCAAGTAAATGTAATCTCATAGATCCTAATCACTTATTAGAAATTTCTTTCCTTCCAAAACATTACGGTTGTTTAATTGATTTGGTTTCATTAGCGTATTTTCACAACAAGAAAGGATATGTATATGTTGAAAGGGTAGCTTGTAAAAACTTTAAACCGTCATATAAAAAAGTATTAATCTATTTATCTTTAAAACCCACATAACTATTTATAAGAAAGTAAACCTTGAGAGAATATAATTAAAAATAATGTCTGCTTATACAACGCCCTATGATAAATGTTCATATCATGTTTAACAAGTAAACTGAACATATGATTACAATATGATAAGTAGTACATTATTTTTATGACTAGGTCTTGTCACTAATAATCATGTGTTGAATTTAATGTCTATTTATTGGGTCAACAATTATTCTGGTTCTAGATTGAGTTTTATATTCTGAAGATTTTTATAAAATGTAATATACCGCAGACTTTTTTAGAATAATCTAAAATACAATTCCTTGGTCAATATCGGTTTCTTTATTAAGAATATCAGAGCTTTGATAAAATGACCATTCAATATGCTAAAACGTGTGTAATATGTTTTAGAAACTTATCTCCTTGTAACTTGGGCCTTCTCAGTTAACTACATTTTCCACTACTACTCGAAATAATTCTGAAATCTTCGAGTAAGAAGACTGTTACTGCAAAGTCATCGAGTTAAGATCCAATATTTCCTATCTTTTGCTAACTACAACCAGTTTGTAGTTTGGTACGACAGTATTTTTGTATTTCAGATGAAACTAAATAGTTTAAAAATCCTAAACAGTACACCAAAGCAATACGAATTGCTTCTTCAAAACAGATTATTAATGTAGGATGGATTCTTATTTTTCCATTTTGTACTCGGCGTATTTTTATAAGAAAGGATGTGATAAACATCAAAATAACATCCAAGTACTTCAGACCATAGATATTACTTTTGAATTCCAACAGTAAAATAAATGTCTGTAGAAATAATAAACACTCAGTAATTCGCTGTTAAATAAGAAGTAAAGAATTTATATTGACCGTGACATTAATATTGCCAGTTTTTTCTAAATTTCGATTTCATAAAAAAATGAATCTATAAATGTAAATGTTGAATAATAGAATGTCATTCGCACTTAATTGATTCCCTAAACAGTTTTTCTGCAACGTCCTAATCTTCCTTTACTTTACAAATTCTGATCAAATAATAGAATAAATGAAAAATCGGTTGTTATGGGAAAGAACCTTGTGCAAAATGAACATTGGAATAAATTTATTGGAAAATATAGAAAAGAACATCTTGAAAATCATAAATAACCATATGTTTTCAGAATACCTGTCCTCATCCTTCTTTTGTTAAAGGGGAATGGCATTTCAAGAAGAACTTATGGAAGGATCATGGTAGCATTCAGTAGAAGATTTACTGTGGCTCGAATAGTTTCATTATATAACACTAATTGTTCGTCATACCACTGAAGGTAGGTCAATACCTTTTCGAAATCATCTCCAACTGCACTTATGAATTTACATGTACCTGAGGTAGAAAATATATAAGAAGGATAAGGAGAACGGTTTCTAAGCACGTTCTTAAGAACCTATATACGGAAGTCTGTAAAGTCTTCTCAGGCATTTTTTGGCATGGTGGACACAAAGTAGATATAAGTGATGCACTTAAAATAACTAGAAAACAACGAATAAAAGTTTTACTCCGTTTAGAAAAGGCAATCGATAACTAACATTCCTAATCTGGCCTATGTATACGGAAGGAAAACGTGATTTGCCTTTTTCTGACATAGTGGCTGAGAGCTAATCAAATAATCTTCTGATTTTTAAAAAAAACTTCTTCGTCTTCCAATTTTTATCTCTTACACAATCACATCCATATTCGCAGGTTGATCATCTACTTTTGTGTTTTCTTTCTGATTATTCGTAACTATAACATTATATATTCTACTCTAAATTACTTCTTTTCAACATATAAATATGCGTCAACCTCAACCATATTCAATCATGTATCCTATGTAGTATTCTTATTATAACTTTTTGTTTTCATTTCGGACAGTTATGTAAACTTTACTAAAGTATGTTAAACCTTTGCGCATAATCAGATAAATGATTGTAACTTTAGGCTATTTGCAGCTAACGCGAAGCTGTGAAATACAATAAATTCATTTTGTTCTGCCAACCTTATTCTTGTTCGATATACAATAAGAACAAATTGCTCTAACGGCAACAAATAAAATTTTACGTACAAAGAACTTCGTACTGATGAAAGAACAACAGAGATATTGTTTATTTAGCAATTATCTCTCGAATTCCGGTACTTTTCTGAAGAATACATGGTTGTTTTCATTAGACTAACTTTTTTGATTACACTTCAAGTACATCTAATAGCCATTGTCATCTTGAGCACAATTTAGACACTAATATCTATTCGATACATCAAGAATTTATAGTTTTAATCAAAATGATATTTAGCTGATTCCAAAAACATCCCTTAATCACTTAATGACAAATAACTCATCTCATCTTTAGGGTATGTTAGCATGATTAATATTAGTCATTAGAAAGACAAAGATTACAAATTGAACACCAAGGTATTTCAATAATACATTGATAATCATGCACTCGTACAATACAAATTCTCATAAAATATTAATCCCTGTGCAATTCTTTTCATAAATTAAAATAGAAGTACATACTAGGATTAGGATTTAGAATACTTATATGCAAATAGAAACGTCCATATGATCGTCATATTTATATAAGAAAAACAATGTAATTTGAGATAAGCAAACTAAATTATAATTCAATGAAATAGAAAAAAATTCAACTTTTAAGACTTTAATCCCCAAATTATTGATCAAAGGCATAAACTCTTACTAAACTATTAATCTGTAAAGCATCATAGTACTTTAATTACTTCAAGAGCCAAGTTCATGTAGCATAAACTTTAGAAAAAATGGTTAATTTAAAGCACTTAATTTCGGCGTTGAATTTGAGGAAAATATTTAGACAGTCATTTTACAGAAATCAACGTTTTTTTCTTCTGTTAATCGATGTTGAATATATAACATATTTGTTTAAAATCTCTCGGAAAAACAATTATCTTACTGTGTTATTCTATTAAATCCTAGAAACAATGAAAAACTAGGAGGTACCACGCAGTTCTTTTGTACTTTATTAAGGTGCTTTAGTAATAAACGAATATAGCCATTTCATGGATGAAATGTCATACATGCATAAACCACACTGGCTTTTTCTATAGACAGATTAACTTCATCTGCTACCCAGTCAGCGACACTTAAGTTATCCAGACGAAGGAACTTTCTGGCTTTTTCTAGCGAATCACCATATGACAAATTTGGGCACAAATTCCTATCAGTCTTATGAAATAGCTCTGCATTTAGACCGTATACAGCTTTCTCCATGCAGTAAAATGTTGCCGTTTTAGCCACCTTTTTAAAGGGACGGTTCGCACTAGGCATTTTGAGGATCCAAAGGTGATTTTGTGGATGAGACTTCCTAGTCGTTTGTTAAATCACTACAGAAAACGTCCTACATAACCTTGTTACAAGTCACTCACATATTATCTCAGTGAAGGATAAACGACTACGACTCATCAATTGAATACGCATATATTTGTTTTTTTGGAGCTACGTTATTTGAGGGATATTCATTCACTCGTTTATAAGCACCAATAACCCTATATGGCTCAAAAAAATGTGTAACTTAAATTACTTAATATCAGGTGTAAATTTCTATGAACATGCACCAGTCATCAATACCAAGTCTAATCCAATGAGATGCATAGTCGAATTTTTGCGTTGATAAAACATTAGCTATATCTAGCTAGAAGCGTGATAAGAGTTCATACAATTGTAGTCATCACCATGGCCCTAATTTCTCATCTTTCTTTACTGTCTATCTACTCATCATCTTCCTTAATTTGCATTTGTATAGACAAGCAACCACAACATAAATGAATCTTCCTATCTATAGAAAGTGCAACCTTGACACAAATTAAAAACTATAATCGACTTTCAGCAACAACAGAGCAGAATCCCGTTTATGAGAAATGAGACTACTGATGAATTGAAAATATCTCAACTCGTGTGAAGAACATATATTTAGAACAACTGACACGAATAAGTTACACTTGATTTAGATAACTTAAGAGATACTATGCACGACTTAAATATATACCCATCTTGTGACGAGTATTCGAGGAATTATATTCTGCTGATGGGTTGCTGTATAATGTAGTAAACATATGATAAGCTTTTAACCTCGACAGTTGGGAATATTGATCATATTTATCAAAAATACAAAGTGAGTATCGTTATGGTCAAGCGTGACTGTAAACAAGTAGATATATTCAGCGAGTTTCTTAAACGGAACTAAATGTAACCATTAGAAATAATGTTATAGTTGATATCGAGAAGTCAATAAGAAATGTATTTAATTTAAATCGAGCTTTTATGTTGATTGCATGAAGACGTTGAGTTAACTGACTTGCGGTCGAGTTCTGTGTGAATTAAAATGAGTGAATAAGGAGTCCAGGTGTTGGAACTGATATAAAAATTGTTTAGTCAATTTTTTATGCTACCCCAACCAAAGCCTATATATAATCATGTTGTCATGAACGAGTAACAAACATCAAATGCATTAATGATTAGAATATTTTTATTTAGCACGAGATCAACAAAAAAAGATGAAAGGGACTTGATTGCACAGTAAAATGGAACTTTCCAAAAACATCCCTAAACCATCTGGTGACAAATAACTACCTGTTACTCATCTTTGGGGTATGTTAGCGTGATTACTATTAGTTACTAGGAAGCATTAGGTAAGCATAAACATACAACAATTAGTTCATCAAATGATAAGAAACCTGAGTTACACTTCAAGACGTTATTCTGTCAGGCAATTTATACAAGTCAAACCAGTATTTATAAGACAATACATATCGACAAAAGAAGCACTTTAGTTTCGTACATATCACACATACATCACGATAAGTATTAATTACTGTTCATTATAAAAACAACAACAACAACAGTGAACATCAAGCGATTTGAGAATACATTATCAATTGGATTGTTCACAGCTGCATGTCGGCGCAATTTCAAACAAAGAACGATCAGTACAGTGAATGTTTGTTTCATAAACAATGAAAGAAATAATTATATATAGATATTTAATTGTACAAGTTCCAGTTGTCGCTGGTATTTCGTGATATACCAGCTTAGGTGAACAGTCCCCATCAAGATAGTGACAATACGCAGTAAAAATCATACACATACCAGTCCACTAATCAAACATAATCATCATTATGAAAAGAGGAAGCATTGTTATGTAATCTCTCCTAAAAGTCAATAAAGTAGGAATATAATGAGTAAACCACCAGTATGAAGAAATTTTAAAAATTAAGACAAAAAGGAGCAGTAAAAAATCAGTTTCTGCAATAAAAAAAAGATAATCATCATAGAAACAATATAATGACGAAGAGGTCATTTAATTAATCTCTAGAATAGTTAAACAAATAAGCAAATGATCCCATTATTAATGATCTCTTTTAAAAGAATATTCATAAATAATAGTGAAGATGATAAAATATGACCAAAAAGAATGTCTGCATATATTAGAAAAACAAATTAACAATAATGATAATAACAATAGTGCGCAAAAATATTCAAATTTCTCTGACATAAATAGAAAAAAAAACGTTCATTTTTAAGTCAATGAAAAATATAAAATATTGATAATGACCACAAAAAAAGAGAATGTGAAAGTAGTTACGTCCATGGATACATTGAATACACCCAACTTTTAATAGATTATTGATAATTAGAAGGTATATTTAGTATGCAAAATAAAAGAACCACAAATGTGTATACAAATATATATGTGCGATTTAGTTTGGAGTTAAATAATGATGAAATGATATTTATAATATGGTTAAAGGCCAAAGACACCAATAATAATAATCACTCACAATGTTAAACATATATGGTAAAAAAGAAATGATAATTAAGAGGAGGATAAAAAGAAACCAGCAGAAAACCTATTTCACCTTTAATATGCATGTGAATGTATAAACTGATGAATGAATTTTGTAGTAAAAAATATATTTTTTTTGATTAATCAAATCGAGTGATTTAATCCAAAGGTATGTTTAACACTTTTGTGAACCTTGCACGTTTTCGGATGAATAAAAGCATGCTGTGAATAAAAAAAATAAACATAACATTGATAAATCTTGATTATTATCTGAGAATAAATAGTTTGAGGTAGAAATTTTGAAGAATCACGTTGTATACAAACAAAAAGAAACAGATAAACGTTTCTCGAAAGAACTTTTTATTTTAAACATTTGTGAGCTCTATTTACTGCTCAATAGTTGTTTACAAATACAGATAGAAATCTAAAAACACTAACCCGTTATTCTAAACACAGGTAAACGACGATATACTGAATTAAACCATACAAATCTCATTCGATTCGCTTGAGGGCTGTAATACTGCCCAGGTGCCCGAACTGAAGCAGGTGGGTTTCTTAGGGGCCCACACACGGAGCCTTTGACCTAAAGGTCTAGTCCACAAGGCAGTGGAACATCGTGAGGAGATGCAGTCCCATGGTAGCCGGTGATCAATGGTTGAATCGTACGCCATTTGTTCCCTCAGGATACTGGAGCCCATGTGCACCATTCCCGACCGTTGCTGCTACCTTGACGTGGTGGTCGGGCTTGCCTATCGTGATGAATCAATCGAGATATACTGGCTGGAACAATCGTTCCTCAAGGTCCTACCATGCCAGGCAGGTCGTTTGAAGAGCGGTGAGACTAAAAGCAGCAATCCCAAGGTCCGAAGGCGAAGTCGTAAAGCTGACTGTACAGAGGTGTGACAGCAGTAAGGTGTTTCCTTCAGACAACCAGCATGACAGCGATGCTGCCTTCCCACAAGGAAGGGTGGGGTTGGAAAAGGTCGACCCTAAAAATGCACACCTCGCCTTATCCCACGGATATCCGTCTCCGGCGGTAAGGTCCATTGAAGAACGGAGCTAACACAAAAACTACCCACAAAAAGGTCGTGTGTGACCGACCTCAAGCAGTTGTCCCTTGGGCACTGCGGTCACGCTCTCAGGTCATTAAGACCACTTCTAACCCAATTTCCTTTTCAGGTACCTCTAGAAGAACCCTTCCATGGTGTGGGCAATCGGGAAGTGATAACTGCCCTCATACCTCTAACAGCACTCAAGACCACTGTATTCATAATCAATGTCCTTCTTCACTTCCTACTATTCCTTCTACCTCGACTTTCAACACTAAACTTCCTCTTTCGGCTTCCTCCTCAAGTGTCACCATGGCCAACGATTCTAGTGCGCGAAACGCTATCCCAGGTCTACTAAAACCTCGCTCCAAACTACACATTGGAGCCTTCAACGTACGTACCCTATGCCAAATCGGTCAACAGGCCTCCTTAGCTAAAACCCTAGAATCTCGTACCATTGATGTATGCTGTGTCTCCAAAACACGCAAAAGGATCCTAGTGTGGGCATTCACTTGACCTCACCTCGCCAAAATGGACAGCCAACGAAATACACCCTCTGTGTATCTGGCGACCCGTTGGCTAGTTCTCGTGGACTTGCAAGTGTAGGCATAGCACTAAGTACAAGGGCAGAACAGGCACTATTAGAATGGATCGCCGTTAACAGTCGCCTGTGTGCTGTCCGGCTAAATGGCTCCGTAAGAACTCGGAAGGATAGGGACTCACGTCGTTGCCTTTTCGTCGTTTCTGCCTACGCTCCCACTGACTGCAGCCATGATGAAGTGAAAGATGACTTTTACAGAAAGCTCTCTGAGCTTCTTCAGAAAGCTAGGTGCTCAGACATAGTAGTCGTAGTGGGTGACTTTAATGCCCAGGTAGGCAGCTTAAATCAAACAGAAAGACATTTGGGTTGGTATTTTAGTATTCCGGCTCAACGAACTGATCATGGTGATCGTCTGTTGCAACTATGCTCAGACAATCGTTTATTTTTAGCAAGCACTAATTTTAAAAATAAGGAGAGACATCGTCTAACATGGCGACCACCTGCACCAAACCAACGATGGACTCAAATAGACCATATTGTCATCAGTCATCGTTGGAGAGGCTCAATAGAAGATTGTCGCTCGTATTGGAATACTTGTTTAGACTCTGATCACGCTTTAATACGAGCACACATTTGTCTGTGCCTCAATGGACGCAGGAAAAGTACACTAAGAAGACCCATCAGGATTGAACTGGAGGACGAGAAAGCCAAATGCGAATTCCAGAAACAGCTAAGTTCACATCTAGGCAGTTCTGAAAACGAGACTGACCCAGATGCTGCTTGGAAAGACACACGAACAGCTGTGGAAACAGCAGTCACATCTATTAGTCATTTAAACCATAGGGCTCCAAAAAACCAGTGGATCTCCTCTAAGTCTATTTCACTGATGGATTCGCGTAAACTCATCCCATCAGGCTCTGAACATGACGAAGAGCGTAAAGAAATTAGATCTAGGTTAACTAAAAGTCTAAGGAACGATCGTGAGCAGTGGTGGGCAACGAAAGCAAAAGAGATGGAAAAGGCAGCGGCTGTAGGCAACACCAGGCAACTATTCAGACTAATAAAAGAAACCGGAATTAAGAAGTCAAGTGTAAGTGAGACAATCTCCGAAAAAGACGGAAGCCTTATCTGCTCTCAATCCAAACGTTTAGAACGATGGGCGGAACACTTTAAGGAGCAGTTTAGCTGGCCTTCAGCTACTGCACAACTATTGACTATTCCCAGAAAACTTGAATGGAACATTGAAGTAGGCCCCCCGACCCTACTTGAAGTTCAAAAGGCTATAAGTAATCTGAAACGAGGAAGAGCAGCTGGTCCTGATGGATTGGCTCCAGAGGTCTTTAAATATGGTGGTTCAATTTTAGTGATTAGGTTGACTAATATTCTGGCTAAAATCTGGGAGACGGACGTAATCCCATCTGACTGATCACAATCACTGATTGTCCCAATATATAAGAAGGGGTCAAAATCATCCTGTGATAACCATAGAGGGATTAGTCTGACTAACATAGCATCTAAAATACTGGCCTCAATAATTATCAAGCGCCTAAGACTCATGAACTGCAAACACGAGAAAATCAGGCTGGCTTCAGACCTGGTCGTGGCTGTATCGACCACATATTCACCATTCGTCAAGTTTTGGAACACAGAAATGCTTATCGGCGTCCGACAATGATAGTTTTTCTTGACTTGAAAGCAGCATTTGACTCTGTAGACCGAGAGGTTTTGTGGCAGTTTCTGTCATTGAAAGGTGTACCTGAGAAGTACATAAACCTTGTGAAGGCTCTTTACTCGAACACTACCAGTCGAGTGAGAGCTTATGGCGAACTGTCATATGATCTTACAACCTCAAGTGGTGTCCGTCAAGGCTGTCCACTATCCCCATTTTTGTTTAACTTCATTATAGACCTGTTGCTGGAAATAACACTCTCGTCGACTGAATTTTCTGGAATTCATCTTCTACCAGGGGGACCACTAAGCGACTTAAAATACGCAGATAACATAGTCCTGTTTGGTGAAGACGCTGACAAAATGCAGAGTCTTCTGTTAGAACTGAGTAATAATGCCAGGATGTTTGGGATGCGTTTCTCCCCATCCAAATGTAAATTGTTACTCCACGACTGGCCTGTGTCAACACCCGAACTAAGGATAGGGAGTGAAGTAGTCGAACGCGTCGACAACTTCACTTATCTTGGAAGTCTGATCAGTCCTAATGGGTTGGTGTCTGACGAAATCTCAGCACGGATTCAAAAAGCTCGTTTGGCTTTTACCAACTTACGTCACCTATGGCGAAGACGAGATATCCGTCTATCAATTAAGGGACGAGTATACTGCGCAGCAGTTCGCTCTGTTCTACTTTACGGCTGAGAAACATGACCATTAAGAGTAGAAGGTACTCGTAGGTTAGTAGTATTTGACCACAGATGCCTTAGAAATATTGCTCGCATCTGCTGGGATAACCGGGTATGTAATAGTGAGGTTAGACGCAGGGTATTAGGGAATGATGGTAAATCAGTTTGATGAGGTGATGAATCTTCATCGACTGAGATGGTTGGGCCACGTGTTACGTATGTCTGAACACCGATTACCACGACGCGCAATGTTGACTAGTGTAGGGGATGGTTGGAAGAGAGTTAGGGGCGGCCAAACCAAAACATGGCATCAGTGCTTGAAGTCACTAACTTCTAGTCTGAACCATGTTGGCAGATGCAGACTACCTGGTTGGGGTCCGCATGACTATCGTAACCAATGGTTGGAGACTCTAGGTGACATGGCTCAGAATCGATCACAATGGCGTAGGTGTATACACTCTTTATCTTCACTTAAACCTTGAGATTGAAATTGCTTCATGGCGTTCTTCCTTCCTATACTATATCCTTATATACAATCTTTCTTTATGTACCACCACTAAATTAACTACTATGAATCCGGTGTTGATCTTGTTATGCTAACGAGGTATGGCAACTTGGACCGATGCATATATGTGCCTGGTCCTACGTTGTAGCTGACTGACTGACTGTGCATCATTGATTTGGAATCGGGGTTTTCCCACTCTCCTAGGTGGACTCGCCTTGTTCACCAACCCGGTTAAAGCACCGGACATTCGCTTTTCGTCCTCTCAATTTCGTAAACAACACCCCCGCCACGAGAAGGCAATGAGTAGGACTTCCCTGGAAGAGGCTATATATTCGCTGGCCATGTGAGAGCATTTCGAGAGGGAGAGCGGACTCTCCCCACTCTCGGCCGTACCAGGGCATTTGGAAAACCCTGATTACTAATCAATAGTGCACATGGGCTTCAGTATCCTGAACGAACAAATGGCGTATGAACCAATTACTGGTCACCGGCTACTATGGGACTGCATCTCCTTACGATGCTCCACTGCCTTGTGGATCAGATCTTACGGTCAAAGGCTTCGAGTGTGGCCTCCTAAGAAAACCACCTGTTTCGGTTTGGGCACCCGGGCAGTATCACAGCCCTCACACAAATCAAATGAGATTTGTGTGGCGCATATATATTTGGTGCTTCCTTGTACCAATATTTATATGATTAAATAAATAAAATAAATAAGTTTCGACACAAGATAAAAGATAAGTATGTTGTTTAGGTTTAGTATAACTTTATGGATGATAGATTAATTACTATATAACTGGAACTATCAATTTTGTTATTTTTAGATAGTTCTTACAGATAAAGGTTGAAATATCCCAAGATAGTACTACAATTTGTGAATCTAACTGATAGCAAAGCTGTGGATCTGAACAGAACTTGTATCTTTATATCATAAAGCGGGTTTCTCGCTTACGATGAATGGAAATTAGTTCAGATTCACAAGTATAATGCACGACGAACCAAATATATACACTCAGAAAATGATCTAAAACTCTACCAAACTTACGTAATTGCTCCCAACAGGAATGTAGTCGCATGGCTTAATATATTTGGAATATGATCAAGCAACCAACCAATAAAACGCGATTTCATAAAAGCCGAGTTGCGCAGACGCCACGAACCCTTAATTGGAGACGAGCAATTAGGATGACCGGATAAGCTTTCTTTAGAATTATTTGTCTGACATACCAGTGCAGTATACCTTGAAAGTTCGAAAAACACCAATCATTGATGATCAATTCACAATTATTAGCATGTAACTCAATAACAACAAAGGATTTGGATGTTAAGCGTACTTAATGTGTAGTAGTTAAGGATAAGGATTAGAGTTTAAAACTAGTCATTAAGTAAGATTCGAATTTCTGTTTTCTCAATCTGGAAAAGTGCTAAGAACAATGAGTTAGTTCAGTAATTTAAAAGAACTTGTGATTATTAATTAGAAAACAAAAGGACATTAAAAACTAAGTTAATGAGAAAGCCAACTTTGAAAAGAGGATCTTACATTTTAATGACATTTTTTCTATCGAGATTAAGCAACACGTTTCAATTAATACACTTTTTGATATAAAAGTGATCACCGTAAATAATGCATACATCCAAAGCGTGATTGTGACGGAAGTTTGGGTGTTCTCATCTATTTTTTTTAATGAATAACAACGATCTAAAAAGTATAACCAGCAAATCTAATTACACGTAAACCTAGGCCTATGTATTTACGAGTAACAGGATGAAATAATAACACATATTGGTGTGCATTTCTTATGCATGTATATGAATCGATTACTTATGCATATCTTCACAAGAAGTATTATGGACATATCACTCCAAAGTAAAACAACAGTTCGTCGACCATAGAAAGTGTTATGGTTAAAGACTAATTGGATTCGCATATAAGCTTTAATCAGTAGTAGTTACTAGTACATATATGGATACCACAATGCAATGACCATTAGTCAACATCATAAATCGACCACTTGCATATTTTATTTATCATGTCTATAATATGTATTAACTATAGTATCCAGAGCTGTGAAATGGTTGTACTGATGGAAATATAGTCTTTACTTGATTCCAATACAATGTTAGATCATAAACTTTAATTACATGTAAAATTGGATGACTAGAATGTGACCGACACAAAGATAAACGGTGAAAAGTAGTCTAAAATGTCGTAGGGAATATATCACATTAATTGGTACTAAATGCGTCAATGGACTGAAAACACGACCGTTTACCAAGAAGCACTTGACAGCAATGACAATGTAGACGAAAACAATTAGTTTTGGTTCGCTTAACACAATGTCCTTGGCTACGCCAAATCCCACTTACAAAAATACGAATTGGTTAATTACTTTATAAATGGCAAGTATCGCGTAGACAGTATATAATAAGTTGATTCTTTTGGAGCTTTACAAGATGGGGTAAAACGTCAAAACCACAGAATATATTGACTTACGCTCCGACTTCAGGTCGACTAGCCCATTCTCCCGAGCTTGTAACTGGAAAATCAGTTGGAAAACTCACAGTGGAGGACTTGGTCATACTTATATTTTGATAAGTAGAGTGAGACTGTTCGGATGTATCACCACTGTGAAGTTCGTCGTGTGATAATGGGCTAGGCAGAGAACCATCGCTTGTTTTGTCTGAATGTTCTTGAGCTTCTGAGAGGAAGAGAGTCAGTAATCTTTCTTCAACTATGGTATGGAGACCGCCAGGTTCCTGGAAACCTAGTGTCCGTTATTTAATACTGAGAACATGAATACCTGAATAACTAGAACCATTTTGGTTGTAACCCAGACTTTGTGGAGTGACTTCTATCCAGGAATCTATCCAAAACACAGAGATAAGTACGTAGTTAACATTGCTTATTATTATTAGTACTTAGTAAACCCTATGAAAAATACTGAATTTCCTTGATACTTTCAATGTGTCAGTAAACAGAATTACTTAGGGTGAAAAATCTATAAAGAAACACACTAATCTTGTTAGTATTAACACATCAATAAGCAGTAACGACTTTTGCGGAAGCAAACTAAAATGTTATCACTGACCATCTAACTAACTATATCTCAGTAAAACTAGAGTACTATGATAAAGTTTGGATTGTTTATTCCGTTGATGCAAGTGAGTTTGGCAAGAAAAAAATGTGCAAAAATAGACATCCAAAGGTAGGATAGGCTTTTATTAACTTGTGTTTTACCATACTTTCCACTCTAAATTAAAATGAAACAGGAAAAGAATTTGATTATTTACTATTGACATATTGTGCTAAAAATCAGTAAGACATCAGGTACTTGGGTATAAGCTACAATCCTAGAGTGAGTTAATGATACTATCCGGTTTCCTAAACCGAAGTAGGTGGAACAGGGTTTAAACTTCGAACATAGTAGCTGAAGTCCAAAGGCTTTAACAACTAAACAGCTGCTTAATAAGCATATAGATTATGGAAGAGCATGTTTTGAGTTTCATTCCACTTTACAATAAGATACAGTGGGGTTAAGGAAAGATTATAAACCTTTTTCAAATTCGTTTGTTTACATGATACATATATTTCGGTGAGGAACAACGGATGCAGCTACAATATTATTACAATCTTGCATCTGTGAAACAAATATGGATTAGTTCAGGTTACTGCTATTAAATAAACTAGTACAAAAAAGTGATGGGAATTCATTTGTTTCAAAAGTCCATTTTAATAGTTGAGTGCCTATAACCCTTTTTGAAGAACTTATTCACTGGTTTGATGTGGCGATGGTTTTCATGAAAAACGAACCTAGAAGGGTCACTTATTTGACAGATTGGTTATAAATAACTCATGCACACAACCAACTAGAAACCTAAATGGTTTCATTCCTATTTATTTGGGGTACACATAAGTTCTGCTACAATAAGACATCATCAACTAAGTAATGACTTTGTGAAGGGTCGTAGAATGGATGAGCGAACAATAATAATATTGCGAGATTCATCTCAGTCAATAAAAAGCCGGGACTAATCAGTTAACTTGATCGCACTTTTAGGAAGAACTTCATTTGAGAAACTCTTCGGAAATAATGATGCGAAAACCGAGTTGCGGAATATCCTTAATCAATAACCCACAGAAAAAAAACTGACTACTACGATGGGTCGTATATCCGATTAGCACCATGAAAGCGCCCGAAACGGTCCGAATTGTCATTAACTACTTTGGCTTTTTCTGTAAGTAGATTGGTTTTATCTCCAACGCAATCACAGGCACTTAAACTACCCGAATATAACTTCAGTTATTTATGAATATAGCAACTCACTAAAAACAAAAAGTTCAGACAGGCTCTTGAAATCCTGAGGGAGTACTTTATGGCCACCAAATACTGGCTGAATATATCGAGTTCGGATAGTCTACATATCACCCCACAGTAGGACAAAGTTACCCACTTATTTGAGATAGAAAATTCTTTTTCCAGGTAACAGCTTCACCACATACTTTCGGAGACGCTTCCAGAATGTCATGAACAACAGCTGTAGTGCGATATGAATAAAAAACCCTGGCTAAAAAGATTAGTGGTTAGTTGCCAAGATGATCTAATGAGGCTATTTATTATGAACGAACATATTTCTCACCCCTTATAGTTGTTTACTGCCTTACTTTTCATGATTTTCCTTATTACTTAGTGATTTTTCTTTTCTGGTCGCTCTATTTAGTGTACACAGCTTACTTATTATTTATTTATTTAAACACATATATTGGTACAAAAGGGTACCAGATACATATGCGCCACACAAAATAATGAAAGTAGGAAGAGAAGGGATGAAAAGATAAGGCGGACTGAAATGTACAACCAGAAGACTCTTTCAGTTAAGAAAGTTAGAACCATTCTTTATGTAGAAAGTAAAAGAAGGTTGCAGTAGGATCGCCACTGGCTTCTATTCTGAGCCATATCTGGTAACGTCTCCAGCCACTGTGTTGCACCATCTCTCGGACCCCAGCCAGGGAGTCGTGAAGAACCAACAGAAGCTAGCCCTTTGCAGCTTTCTTTCACGCCACGACACCATGTCATACACTGACCTCCTCTCCGCTTTTTCCAAACAGTCCGAGTCGGCAAATAATGCACGACGTGGAAGTCTCTGGGACGACATTCGTAAAACATGTCCAAGCCACCGAAGTCGGTGTTTCAAGATGGTGACACCAATTGAATTATCGTCTCTGCGCCCGAACACACGATGCCGAACCTCTGCATTACTAACATGGTGTTGCCACTGTATGTCAGCAATCCTTCGGAAACAACGATGATCGAACACAGAAAGACGTCTAACATCCTCAACTCGGAGAGGCCAGGTTTCACAAGCACAGAGCAAAACTGCTCTCACTGACGCGTTGTAAATCCGACCTTTTACAGCCAGACTAACATCACGAAGGCGCCAAAGATGGCCCAGATTGGTATAAGCCACTTTAGATTTCATTATACGTGCATCAATCTCATCACCAACGCCGCCACCAGCACTTATATAGCTACCTAGATACAAGAACTTCTCAACTACTTCAATCTGCTCACCATCTAGGGTGAGTACAGGATGAGAATCCTGCCAGTCTTGTAGGAGTACTTTGCACTTGGAGGGTGCAAAGCACATGCCATACCTGCGGACACTGATTGCCAACTGATTAAGTGCGGATTGCATGGCTTGAGCATTATCGCACAGTAAGACAATATCATCCGCATACTCGAGGTCGAGAAGTCGTTCTCCAGGCAACATATCTACACCGCCATTACTTACATCCATCAGTACCAAAACAGCAACTCACTAGGTTGATGGGAGTGATTGGTGGGTTTAACTGCTACACTATCACAGAAATGCATTCCCTGCTAAAAGGTTTGTGAAATAATGTTGGCGAGCGTAAGTTATTACGCTCATATAGCTGCTGGCCACAACATAAACTGGATGGATATGAAGAAAGGTAATTCAGACACAACTAACACTGCGAACTACATCATTTATTGTCTCTAATAACCCTCAGAAATAAGGCCTTACAACACCAGAATTATTAACAAAGAGGGAGATTTATACCATAAAAACATACCGCCAAGATCATGGGAGTCCGAAGGAACCATTAGAACCCAGATTCCAAACACCGCCAAAAATGGTGATACACAATTCAAGGTCTTTTGTATACGTTACAAAATTTAAAAGTTGTCAGCCGAAATAATCAACTTCTCTTCTGGTACCTGCATCTTGGTGTTAACGGAGCTTTCTTGATTACGCAAATGTTGTGGTGTCCTTAAATACTTATAGTTTTGTGAACACAATAAAATATCTGATCATCCCTGTAAGTGTTCTAAAATAATGTTGACCTGATTAGTTTTAGTAGACACACCTTGGCTGTAGGAGCTCGGTCATTTATCCACACTAGATCACAAGTTGGTACGCTGTGCTCCGCATCTTTTGTAACTGTCAGCCAGCTGAGACCAAATGCGTCTAGACATATCGATAGCTTTTCAAATACATCTTCGAACCCCTCCATTTCTGAGCTCTGATTTGATTGGGTTGTTATTCTTTGTTGATAAGGGCATTACGTGTGAAGACGTTGTCAGAATCCAAACACTTTGGGAACATTCATGTTTAACTGGTAAGTCTTCGATAGAAGAATAATAACATTGTCTTGTACATTCTAGGCCATTGAGCCCTGCCTTCAGTTGTTGGCTGATATCTTTTTGGAATACACCATAGGAATTACACTCAGTTTGGACGCTAAGTATACAAAACGATATCCATTAATAGTGTGGACACACTTCATATTGTATGGTTTATCAATAACTGACTTGGTCATGTTTCAATTAATCATTGCACTTCAGTGGTAGCAACAATAGCTATGTTTTGGCATATACTGATTGATTCACTAAACTGACTATCGCTAAAGAATGGATACAGTACTTCCTGTTTTTTATGAGGCGAATGCTGTTGAAAAGTCTGACCACTCATCTTTTTGGGTGAATTGGGAAGTGACCTTTTGTAGGATTCTTTAGTTTTCGTACAGTTGCTATATTGTAGTTCACTGCACACATTTAGAGCAAAGTGGGCCCATTTAATATATATTTGGACTGTATACACCTAGTCTGAAACTATCCAAGAGTTGTGTATTCTCACCTTCGTTTTCATAAGGATCACTTGATTACCGAGTTGTCGAGTTTCAGATTTTTCAGGTCAGTGTGTGCTTAGCCGTTGATCCAGTGTCTACGCAGAAGCTTGATACAAAGCTATAAAGGTTCTCGGCGCTATACTTTTGTTCTTGATTATATAAATAATGTTTTGGGCGTTATTTCTGAGTTTTCATCTACATGCAATTTCATGCCTAATTATCATTATATTTTGACTAAGACTCCCAGTTAGGTCAGTATGAAACTAGTTAACCATATGATATTCATAAAATCAAAATTCTAAGTCCACTCACAGGTAGTTTGTTACTTAGTTTTTGATAGCTATTATTTTTTGTAAATTCTATTGTGGATATATCAGATTGAACGAACTAGTTCGGTGAGTTTAATGAGTTAGCAAAGTTGAATCCGTTGAACTCTATGACTATGCCTTTATTTAGTAAGATTAACTTTCAAGTATGGTTTGTTTAGGCTGGAGTAAAATTTCGTTGTCGAAATACTTGTATGGGGTTTTAAAGTATTTTTTGCTGTTGAAGTTATTACCTGCTGAGGTAGCCTCCAAATTGTCGGATATCAAAGGTAAAGCTAACTGTCAGAGCCCCACAACAAATTATAACCGACGATTGTTCATTTACTACATATGGCTCTGACTACTTGTATTAAGATAGACTGATATACTTTAAGACATTTCTACCAGGCGATGGTACATTTTCGTGTGTATGAGGTGACTCGTTGATGAATGAATATGAATGAAAGATAACTACTGATATTCTGTTCAAGCCCATGTACTAGACTTAAGCTAGCTAGGTTTAGGCAACAGTGTCAATAAAAGTCACGTGAAAATTGAATTAAAAGATTTTAACTCTGACACTCATTTGTGAAAAAAGCGATGAAATGCGCAGCATGGAGAAAGGCTTCTAATAAGCAGTAATGTAGACTAAAATAAGTAAAACTGGCTTACTGAGTGTTAAATGATGATTTTGGCGGAGGCATATCCTATCTGTTTCTTCTAACTAGGACTGATCACTAAAAATGCAATCTCAGAAACTTCGAGAACTTAGATCGCTAAGATTATTCATATTCTTATGCACATAAATTTATTCCTGTTTCTATGACTAGCGTGTCTTTTGACGTATCAATCTTACAAAGTAACCTATTACAGTAAATCTTGAAGGGATCGTGAACGTGATAAGGCATAATCATACTCCTGTTTATCATCAGGTTAAACGAATGTTTTGAATGTGTCTGCCTGATTAGTTTTAAATAATGCAGGAACTAGGTTAAGTTAAGTCTTGGAGAAGAACAACACGACTTAAGAATGTCGTGGTGGCTGAGGAATCTCGGTTGATAGACATATCCAGAGTGTCACACAAAGTAATATGCACGCCTTTTTCGACGGCCGAAAGTACGACCTTCCAGTTTCTTAGAGATTTAAGGGACAATGCACTTATCAGCATCTTGCACTTGACGGTATCATGAAGGAGCAGGTTTCTATCGATTCACTCTTTTATTTTGTTTAAATCCTAAATCATAAAGGTACCAGCGAATCACTCGACTTCAAAGTTATTAGCACACAGAAGTCTGAGAATGAGGGTTGTTCAATAAATATATATCAGCCCTAATAACCAGGATTCAAGCAGTCCAATCACACTCCGGTTCCCTCCAAATTGCTAGTCCAACTAAAACTGTATTCACACTAGAGTTATATCGAACATGTTTTGCCACTGTTATGTATATATTATGTCGCATATTTCTACGTTGGTTTTGTGAATGAATCAGCCAGTTTAGTGATAACTAACTGATGATCTTCCAGTTTATTCGTATTGGTGGTTGACATTTATGTACTTTATCACACATATTGAGCTAAATCACAAGACACATCCCCAACATGTGATCTCTGAGATTAGCCAAAGAATGAATAAAGCAGTTCACTGATATGTCTTGTATACTTTGAAGACAGTATAAGAAATTATTCAGAAATATTTGCCCGTGGTGCCTACACGTTTGAAAGATCTATCTGTAGTGGTATTAGTTCCTATTCACACAATCTTAGAAGTTGAAGATATAATAACTGGGAGGACTCATATTGAACATTTAACACAGTAGAAGGTCAGAGGTGGAGAACACGAGAACAATTAGCACTGCTCGTCCATTCACGCGTAGTCATCCTATGTAACCCATGATTTTTGTGTTGATAATATTTTTGTTTTCCCGAATTAAATGTGTTCTTCAGAAGTGCTAGACGTCATGCTGCTTGTTGTCATAATAGGACGAGTCAGTGTTGATAATGGTGTGACTTCCACTTAAGATCTTATACATTAGATAGTCCCATTATGGCGATTCTACAATCTTGATATCGGGTAAATATATACTAGTATCAAAGTAGACCATAAATTAACGGACTTATATAGGTAGCACTATGTACAATCTTCGCAGAAATATGTAGAATATACTTAATCACAATGTATGGTTTCGAATGAATATTTTCGTATGTTGCTACTGTATTTAGCATGGCTCCAGAAGCATCCATAGGCCCAAGGTCGTGTATATCTTGATAAATATCCTCCCCTATTGTACACTAACCCAACTCTGGAGTTGAGACCATGTGTAACTTCGATCATCGAGCATTCATGTATCAAACGTTCCGTCGTCATGTACACTACACTCATCTGTGGAAGCGAATGGATTACCGAACTTATATATGTGCTGATAAAAGTGTTCCTAGAACAATAACAACGCATCTGATTCCTCGACTTAGTAGCGTTCCACCAGGTTCACTGAAATATTCGTTTTAATTACCCCAAACAACATACCATAACATTTTAAGTGAAGGCAGCAGAGATGAGTCCATGCACCGACAGCTTTACACAGTATAAACTCATCTTAAGGCGATTAATTTTGTGAAAAAATTTGCTGAGACTCAATTTGTGGTTCAGTTTGCGGAATTCTGCGTCCATGACATACATTAGAGTCTCTAGTCTACCAACTTCGTACAGTCCGAATTCTCAATGCCATAGTTAGTTCTAATGTTATCAGTGGTCATTAAATCTTCATAGTTTATACTAAGAACTGATACTAACTGGACGGTCATTACAAACAGACGGGTACTTATCATTTGCTTTGATCTGCCGTGAAAATCCTAGGCAGTTCATACTCATGGCACCACCAGGGGATGGTCTCTCTGACAGCCCATAGTTTTAAAACATCTAAACTGACCATAGTCACATGCAAAACTACTGGAGCTCACGAAACTTGAGTCAGACCTTTCGAAAAGGTCTATCATGTTTGACAAATCTTCTCATTGCAAGAGAAGATTGGGCTGAGGCAAAAGATCGCAATATTCCTGTAGATGTCATTTTCATAGATCTAAGTAAAGCCTTTGATAAGGTTTCCCATTCTGATCTTAAATTGAAACTAGAAAGTTTTGGAATTAATTATGCAGTCATAGACTGGATAAGTGACTTTCTTCATGAAAGGAGATAACGGGTAAGAGTAAATGGGGCTCTTTCATCGTGAGAACCAGTAAAAAGTGGCGTCCCCCAAGGCACGATTTTAGGTCCTCTTCTCTTTTTACTTTATATAAATGAATTACCAGCTATAGCTAAGTCATCCGTCCTACTATTCGCCGATGACATTAAGATTTGGAGATCCATATATAGTATGTCAGACAGAATAGTTTTACAGGAAGATCTTAACTCATTAGGGGAATGGATGAATGGTTGGTCGCTAGAAGTAAACCCTAATAAAAGCGTTGTGATGCAATTAAATAACTACGATGATTCGTATCACTACACATTATGTGGACTAGTGTTACCCAAAGTAAGAAACTATAAAGATTTAGGAGTCATACTAAGTAATGATCTCAAAACAACCAGTCACTGTAAGGCTGCTGCTGCAAAAGGCTATAGGGCATTATGGTCTATTCGTAGATCTTTCCGGTATCTGGATGGGGAAATGTTTAGATTATTATACCCAACTTTCGCACGGCCACATTTGGAATATGGGATTCAAGCAGCGAGTCCTTGTTTCAAATATGAGGCGGATATGTTGGAACGAGTCCAACGCCGCGGGACAAAAATGGTAAAAGGCTTATCTAGCCTATCTTATGAAGACAGACTGAGACACCTCAACTTATTTCCGTTATCTTACCGGCGAATACGGGGTGATCTAATATTGGCATATCGTATCCTGAACGATGACCTTGGTACTAATATGTCCTATCTTTTCCTCCCGTCTAGGGCTAAGCATTTGAGAGGACATTCAAAGAAAGTCCAAAAACCGAGATCAAATCGTCTACGTCTGGAGTTTCGTTTCTCGCACCGAGTAGTGAATTACTGGAATTCCCTACCAGAACACGTAATATCAGCACCTTCTGTTGATATATTCAAGACGAGATTGGACCTCCACAGTGTAACAGACTGCAAGGATTAAAATAGGTCACTAGACCTCCTATCCTTATTACTGAAGACACTTCTCCTGGTCCGGACATGGTTCATTCCGCTGTATTGAGGGAAGCAGCTTCAATCCTGGCGACACCACTTAGCGTGATGTTTGCACACTCGCTAAGCAGAGGCAAACTACCGGAAATATGGAAGCTGGCCCACATCACACCAATTTTCATAGGAGGTCGACGCAGTGAACCCTCAAGCTACCGACCAGTGGCCCTTCTCTCCATACCTTCCAAAATTATGGAATCCCTAGTATTCGACGGCATACTAGAACACTTATCATCCTCAAAGTTCCTCTCGCCTCAACAGCATGGTTTCAGAAAAGGTCATTCTTGTATGACCAACCTGCTGACTGCGGTGGATAGATGGACAACCATCCTTGATCGCAAGGGGAAGGTTGACGTCATTTACCTGGACTTCTCAAAAGCTTTTGATAGGGTCAACCATGCATGTCTTATCAAGAAGCTTGGACGATTGGGTATAAAACCCCCTTTAATTGACTGGATCACTTCATACCTAGAAAACCGACATTTTAAGGTCAGGGTTAACTTCACTCTCTCTCAGGCTATGGAATGTCCTAGTGGGGTCCCCCAGGGTTCAATACTAGGAACTCTTCTCTTCTTGATTTATATTAACGATCTTCCTCAACAAGTTTCATCTGATTTATTGCTTTTTGCTGATGATGTGAAACTTTGGAGAGAGATACGTAATCACAATGATATACTAGTTCTTCAGGAGGATCTGACTCGACTTCAAAGTTGGGCAGACGACAACGGACTTACCTTCAACACTTCAAAGTGCAAGGTAGTCCATCTGAGACATGTTGCAGACTATAGTTATAACTTAGGTAACTCACCTCTAGAAGTTTCCCAAGTTGAAAAAGATTTAGGAGTGTTGGTACCCTATGACCTGAAATCGTATGCGAACTGTGACAAAAACGCCTCTCAAGCAAACCTTGCACTGGTAACATTGAAGCGCATTTTTGGCCAGTTTGACGGTAGAACCTTCCAACGTCGAGCCACGAAATCAGTTCGGGGTCTCAAATTCAAACCTTATGAAGAGCGCCTCAAATCACTGAACCTTTACCCGTTAGAGTACAGGCGTCTTAGAGGTGATCTTCTTATGACTTATAGTATCCTTAATACTTCTGGTCATCCCCTTAAACAACTTCTTAAGCTTAGTCATAACACTAACCTCAGAGGTAACACCCAGAAATTGGAGACCCTACATAGCAGAACAGACTGCAGACACAACTTCTACTCCGTTAGAGTTGTCAAGTGCTGGAATTCGCTGCCGACTGAGCTAGTCCAAGCGACCTCCCAGGAGTCCTTTAAGAGGAAACTTGACTTATTCTTAAGGACTAAGGATAACATATTATTATGATTTACCAAATTCTTTTTTTCCCTCTATTATCGTTCATATACCTAGGTTCTTGCCTGGAGGTATTGGAGATCCACTGCTACCAGACACGGAAGCCCGTTAAGCGAAAGCTTCTTCTATTCCGTCCTCAACCATTTGAACCATTTGAACCATTTGAAGATGTATCAACAATATTATTAAACACAATGATTAGTAAATGCCACTCGACCTATCCTTACAACTGAAGATTCGCATTACTGCTTCAACATTTGGCAGAAACCATCATTTTTATCATTTAGCAAATTTTATCTAGTTTTTCTACATCCATATCATGAACAATTGAAGAAGCACTAAGTTCCGTATTTGTGATGATAAAGTTTTTGATTTCAAGGTTGACCCAAACGCGGTAAACTGATTGTAATATGCCGGTAAGATATTTTCTCGACTTTTTTTCGATTGGTTAGAGGCAGCGTTCATACACGTCAACCGATCAGGACAAGACAAAGTCAGTCAATAAAGAATTTTTCAATAAGCAATACAAATCATTGAAGACGTATATTCGAAGTAGCCCTTATTGACAGCGCGATATTATATTACAGGTGCTGGCTCTAATCCTGTTCTCCACTCAGGAATATGCTCATCACAAAGTCCTGGGATACCTGGATCTCCCGCTTCATTAGCCACAAAGAAAGGTGTCTTTTATCAAGATGACAGTGGGAAAATCATCAGCCTAACTAAATCAAGGAAATCTAATCATTCCGTTAGTTTTCGATTAAAAATCATAAAAACTGTTCCAGGATGGTAGTAAGCTGATTTCTGACTCTAAAAGTAGATTGATACTGGATTTGTCTTCTTTGGGGCTTGACAGCGTTTCTCCTGACATTGGGAGTCTCAGTCATTTAATAGAGCTCTTTCTGTATGATAATAAGTTAACATGTCTTCCTTTGCAGATTGGACTTCTGAAAAACCTCCAGAGAGTATGCCGTTATCTCTTTTACCTTTCTTTCACAGTTATGGCTACAGGAAAACTCTCTCACATTTCTACCAGATGAGCTTGGTGATTGTTCAAAACTAACTCACCTTGATATCAGGCACAACAGACTTGAAGGTTGCATACCTGTTGTTCTAACAAAGTTCACTTTAATGAAACAACTCTACCTGACCTACAATAAATTAACGGATATTTCTGCTATTGGTAATTTACGTGTAGGTCTAGTCATGTTATTTTTACTTCTCGTGTATGATATTTTTCTTGGATTTTCTTTGTTTGTCTTCCTCATCAACTTTTTTAAAATCTAACGTTTGTTTTAGATAACGACGTCATACATTTGGACAGACAGTTGCGTTTCGCTTTCAGTCCAGAAAGTACAGAAGGCTGAGAGACCTGTGGTAATTACGGAGATGGAAGGTCTCTCAGTTAACACAAGTTTCTGTTCATTGTTCATGAAGGCAAAGCTATAAACATATGTTGAGTTTTGTAGTTAGCTAGTGGGCTATTTGTTTTGTGCTTTTGAACGGTCTTAGGGTTTCTTGGTAAATTCTCTGATTTAGAAGGTAAACGATGGGATGTCTCATGCGAAACTAACGTTTGGTAGATTGAGATGTCCTTTGATCTTTGTGTCCCATATGTGGACAAGGTTTAGTTCAGCAAATCTGTCACCATATTTCAGCCCTAAAATTTATAAAATTAGCCTATTTGAAATTTTTCACCTTTTCCAGTTGCTCACTACCATTTTCTGACAAATTAACTGATTGTATGCAATACAGTAGTCCCGGTTAGAAGGACTGTGTATACGATGTAAAGGATTACTGAAATTTCTACATGTTGACTATGAAGTTCTGAAACATTTGAGAGTAAATGAACATGTACAATGGTTTTTGATTCTTGATTGATACTAACCTCTAGATTGATATGTGTATTGAAAACAGATGACTCAACAGTTTTCGCTATTTAATTGTGTAATACTAACCAATATGAACCATAATTCACTTAGATCCATTCAATACTAGTTGCAGGGTACCATGTCAATATTCTGATTCTTTCTGATCTTTTAAAAGCCCCACACTATCCCCTTCGTCTCATATCTTTCATCACATTCCGATACATTTATTAAGAGTCATCAGTCACAGGACTGACGATGAAGAAAAACCGGGAAGATCATTGACATTACACCACTGAGCACCATTTTTAAGCTAGACTGTCAGTGACTTTATTCGGGTCCAATTAAAAGTTTATTTATCCACAGAAATAATCTCCTGGTTTGATACTGCCCTACTTTGTTAACAGTCTGCTGCATAGAACTTTATCAAGTACTTGGAGTCAGTGGAGGGTAAACCAACAGGTAGTTCGTAATCTTACAGGGCGATAACAGGTTGATACTATAAGGATTTTTGTAAGAAATCTACTGTAGACGTCCTGAGAGACGTTTCTACTTTTACGTCGCAAACAAATCTTCATTGCATAATGGATTTTCTTGAATGTGTTTGACACTATGGTGAATTAAGTCCCTGCCTATTAAGTCATATATTGCTGCACTAGGTGTACTACATAGTTTCGGCATAATAAAAATGTGCTTGAAATTACCAGGTTAGCGGAAAATTGATTAAATGATTTCATACTGAAGTGCCATTATTTGAAAATCATAAAGCATGCCGAACTAAAGTAGCAGCTAGAATAAAAGTTGGCGTAATGTGTCTTGTGCATAGCTTCTCCGTGTTTCGGCTATTAATAATCTCTTTCTGTCGGTATCAAACGGAGCAAATTTAAAATCATGTTACAAATATTATGGGTTTGTTATGTGTATATTTAAGTCATGTCATATTTTGATCAGGTCGTATGCAATACAACCTAGCGGTGGCTGAAAAATTCACTGTTATATCTAATGCACACGTCTACTTTAAGTTTCAGGCACTAATGTATCGTTATAAATTATTACACCTGTCGTTAAAACTTTAAGCGTTAGTATTAAATGATGTTCATTCAAAGCCTATCAATAGATTTTTCCGATTAACACTATTCACAATTGGAGTTAAAATACCTTGACAAATCATTGATCTTAATTGAAACCTATTTCGGTTTGCAAGTGTAACTGAATTGTCATCTGTTTTTTAAATTCATGAACATGTTTTTACATGCTAGAACTATAGCTTCTGCCTTTTTTAAAAAAAACGACTTCGTTACTTTGAAGAATGTTTAAACGTCATTGCAGCAATTCAGATAATTAAAATAACCCATTGTTCCATTGAATATGAACGAAAAGAATTCAGCGAGGAAAATTTTCTTTTCGACTAACTCATTGGTGTGTTTTAGGTCTTTTTTTATTTTTATTAATCTTTATTTTTCTAAACTAGTGTTTTTTAATTTTAAAACAGTCAGTTATTATTATCCTTAAATGATTTGTCATGGTTATTATTCAGTTTCTATTATTATGACCTTTGTGTTTTTCGTTTTTCTTCATATATGTCAAGTGGACAATTATTTTTCATAATTCTGACCCGTAAATCATTTCCATCTCTATATTCTTCTCTTACCCCTTGATTATTGAGTTGCCTCATTTGATAATAAGTCTTGAACCAATTTATGATGCAATCTTTTCTATTTTTCTATAAATATATATTTACCAAACATCTGTAAATACGAATCTACAGTTTAAGTGAATGATTTCGTCGAAAAGAAAATTTCCTTCGCTGGATTCTCTTTATTTTTGTTTAAATGTCCATTGCTCGTAACAGTTAAGGATCCTGAAATGATGCAAAAGACATGCAGCTCAAGTGTATGGTTTTTGTGGCGTTGTATAATTTGAGATAAATGGTTTAATGACTCAGCTTTCATTGTAATTCTGAAAATCATCAACTCCTGCTTCATGTGGCAGTAGGTGCTGACTGTCTATATTTCAGTTAGATTTAGTAGACAATCGTTGATGATCATCATTTCCATGGGGAAAGCCTATCGATTAGCTATTGTTTGTGATACGTATGTTTTTTCTACAAAGAAAGTTTTATTGTTGAACAAAAGTTCCGAAAACAGTTAATCAAATAGCAATCAAATTTCTGATGCCTATGGCTGTAGTAATTGTCTACACTATAAAATTAACCATAACCGGTATGATTTTACCCGCAAAATACATTTTCTTATTAAGTTTCTACAGACATTAGTGGTGAAAAGTAATCAATTACAAGGATCGATTCCGGATTGTATTGGAAATCTAACGCAATTAAAAACTCTGGATCTATCAAAGAATCGTTTAACCAACATTACTGAAAGTAGTTATTCTTTTTGCATGTATTCCATTTACTATTTAATTTGTTTACATTTTGCAAGAAATATAACTGAGAACTATCTACTGAAAATGAGATATTTGTAGAAAACTGGAGATTTCATTTGACTCAACATGACAGCTCATAACTAACTAGTTTGTCTGATGAAGCTTTTGGAATTACGCAGGTAAAATGTTTGCTTCGTATTCTTTAAATAGAAGGGACGTTACAATTACATATTATTTTTTGATCTTAAATCTATTTAGAATAGTACGGAGAACTTTTTTATAGATAATAGGTTCATGTAATTTTCTATAGTTCCATTTTTTTTAATCGACGTTGACGTTCTGTAATGCAAGTACCCATTCATTTTACTGACAAAAAATGTCCTGAAGTTGGATGCCGGTTTAGTGGTATGCAGGTTAAGCGTTTGCATGCGAGACCAAAGGTCCTGGGTTAGAGTCCCGGTTGCAGGGTTGTAGACGCGCATCGCTGATGAGTCCCATATTATGACGAAAGGGTTGTACAGTGCTTAAGGACTTTTATTATTGGTCTAGCTAAGATCAGTTCATGAGTTGAGCTATGGAAATTTTACGATCATCATAAATGTCTCTAAAGTAAAACTAACGTTTTCCTCACAAGAAAGTGCAGTCCCCTTGTAGTCGTTAATACATATCTATCTATCTGTTTAATGGAAAAAGATGTTTTTTAAGTGTTTCTAGCCTATCTGGATTAGTTGCTTCACTTTTATAAAAATTTAATTTTTTTGACAAAATTTTGCCACTTTAGATTTTCTGAATGTATAACGAGCTGGTAAATTTAGAAAGTTCAGTAACTAATACTTGAAAAAACATTAATTGATTTATTATTTACGCAACGTTATATTGATTGTTTTCAGTCATTCCATAATAACTTTTCAAAGTTATATGTAGGTACTTTAGTCACGTACTTGAAATCTTTCTTCAGTTTAATGACGGATGGATTGATGATGGATTCATACATCAAATGCAATAGCAGCACAACAACGTCGTCTTAACCATAGCCTAACTCGATGAGGGATGTTAATTGGTGTAGGAGTGAACTGGAAAAAAATTAGAGGCGGTCAGACTTAAAACTGGCATCTTCCTCTGGGTTTTGAATTCCAGTATTTTTTTATATATGTTTTTTCAATAACCCTCTGAACCATATTTTAAATCTCCATTCTTTCTTGTTATCAACCGTGTTATGATATTTTGGTTCTTTTGCTACCACTCCTAACTTTATCTCGTCAAGCTCATGTATCATGAAAACTTGAGCCATCTTGTATATTTACCAGGCTCTGAGTTGATCATAACTGACTAATTGGCTGACTAGCAGTCGAAGAAACACTGCACCTTGAGCTTCATTTTAAAGGTGAAATAGTGTGTGAAATTCACATACACCTAGCCAATAGATCCAACAAAATGACTTTCAATCCCTCCATTTTGCACGTAACATTTTCAGCTATGGCAATACTGTTTCACCAAACCAACCAAAAAATACGGATGATAGTCTCGTCTTTGTGTTCTTATCAATTTAACTTGTCCAATGACTCTAGTTACGTAGACGGTACTCAAAATGCCTTATCCTTGCATGTAACTTTTATGGTCCGTCACTTTAGTGAATTTTGGTAGGTAGTTCGGAAATTTTGCCTTTTATGTTCATTTGAATGACTAAAATGTAAAATGAACTCATTGTCAGATTTTCCCATTTTCTTCAATATTAAACATTATGTCAAGATGTTAGTGATATGTAAAATAATTCGCTAATTCAAAAGACATTTAGTTTCACAGAAGATTTCGTTTTTCATGATCCTTTAAAATACAAATCTATTATTAATACTGTTAAATGATTATAATGTTCATAGTTTTTGTTGTCTAAACGTTTCAATGTCAAAAGTTTTGACAGTTTTATTATTGTTTTTTCACTGATTTTCACTAAGGTCACAGATAATTATGGTCAAATAATCATCCAATTGTTTAACTGAACCATTTAAATTCTTCATCAGCAGTTATTGATCACACTAAGTTTAATAAGGTCGATATATTGTGTGCACTAATGCATTTCCGGAAAACTGATTTTATTTTCCCCCTCTTTAAACACTGTTCATACAGTTTAGTTTTGTTTAAGCATGCTGACTTCTATTCTAATTGACTACTGGATAGAAAACCGTAGTCACTTTTAAATAGTGAGTGTAAATAAGTATTAAATCATAGCATTTGACATTGTATTGCCTATCCTATTCAATGTTTTATGAATGCAAGCGACGTGCGTAACTCTATTTAGTATTGGTCAAGGTTAGATAGAATATCAAGTTAAGCATATGAAACTAAGTATTAAGTGCAAACAGCTTTCCACCCATTACATTTGGTAATCTAAAGCATTTGAAACACAGTTAATCAAGCTCAGAGTTTCAAGTGTCATGTAATGATGGGTATCTGAGTGATATCTTTAAGTGTATTTCTTTATTTTACTTATAAAATTTGCCTTTAAACTTCCGATTTGAAAAAAATATTGTTTTGCATAACATGTGGAGTAATAAAGAGTAATCGTAGTGATAATACTGCATTTTGTATTGGTCAAATCTCAGCCTTTTGCATAAAGAAAACATTAATTTGAAGATAATTATAGTTACAAATTGACACTTAATGGGGAATATTTGCTAATTGAAGGCAATCAATGCTTGTCCCATTCTTATATAGGACTCCTCAACAGTGGTAATAAACGATCTTACATGGAGTTAAACATGCGACCATTAGATCTTGTACAGGACATAACACCTTTAGTCTACATTTTCAAGTCATTTTACAATATACCTTTAGTCACGATTATCGCTTGATAACTGTTACGCTGTTGAGTTTATTCAACTTAAGCAGTTCACCGCTCTTTGTTTTATAGTGGTTCTCTAGCTGATTTCAGTCTTTGACATAAACTGTCCTAAAATTGGCACAGTCAACCTAAATCACGCAAATAAAAAATTATATTAGTTTGGATCTTACATGTGAAATTTTCTGTAGAAATGGTCAGTAATGTGGTAAGTAGTTAGTTATCTAGGTAAATGGTTTTCAAATATGACTTGGATTTTATTAGTGTATGAAACAACAGATTTTATTATCATGAAATTCGAATTGTATCAATTCAGTCATAGTTTTTATTCTTATTCATGGACTGATGATAAATAACATATAGACCCTAAAAAGTTGAAAGCCTAAGATTGAAAGAAAATTAAGAGGTTGGGACTTGAATGAATGTGAAATGAATAGCAGATTTAGTAGCAGGGTTAAATTGACTATCACACTAGTTGAACTGAAGACAGAATCCTAACGTTTATTGTCTCCAGTTTTATTTCATTTTATATATATGCTGTGAAAAAACAGACTAAATCTAAAGTTGATGAACTGAAATACATACGGTTAAGTAAGTGATTTGAAGGTTTATTAATTTACATATTTCATTTCATTGTTACAAATAATAATAATTTTATAGAATATAACTGACGTGATTTTTTATTTTATTATAGACAAGCAAATATCGTAAGAATATTGTTCTAAATCACCATTTCACTAATAAATAAACTTGATCAATCTATGATATTATTCAATAGTATCTAGATTTTCTAATGATTTTAAGCCGTAAATTACTGTAATCTTAGTACAATACTTTTCATTCCCCTAGATAAGGGATCATTTTTAACTAAGGTCATAAATTATTTGAGTAAAAACTGTTCTCATTCAATGTAACAACTTCATATAAATATAAATATGTTAATTATTTTAAACGTTGACCTGAAATGTTTTCCGAACAGTTAAGAAATTCTACATATCAAAAATTCTTTATCGTTGTATTACGATTAAAAGGGACATTTCAAAAATACCGATAACTGAACTTGGTAATTTTAAATAGTTTGGTGAGTTCTCTTGTTTAATTATTCACTTTTTTCTTAAAAAAATAAACCGAATACTGATGTTTACTTAATTATGCTTCCGTTGTTTCGTTGTAGTTACGTGTACACTCAGTTAACTTACAGGTCATCAGAAATATTATGACTGTTTATTGATCTATCTAGAACAAAAAACTACAAATTATCACATGGATGTGTTATTTTCCATGAAATAAGTTTATGTGTATACAAATATAATGTAGTTTCATAGTTGAAAGCATGAGTCAATTGAAGCTAGACCACCATCGGATGCCGGCTCAGTGGTCTATCGGTTAAGTGCTCTGGCTCGAGACTAGTAGGTCCTGGGTTCGAACCTTGCAAGGATACGCACTGATAAAGAGTCCCACAATAGGATGAAACGGTCGTCCAGTGCTCCCAGGTTTTCCTTGGTGGTCTAGCTTCAATTGACTCATGCTTTCAACTATGAAAATACTGAAATCTCCACAAAAACCCCTTCTAAATATAATGTAAACAATTTGTTATTACATACGTACGTCAGATTGAATGGAGAAATTATCAATAAGTCAGAAATTTTCTCTAATTTTTTTTCTAGTCTTATATTGATTATTTATGTAGTCTTCTCAAAACTGTTTTTTCTAGTGTAATATATATATTTTTTGTTATACACTTTTAGGGAATATGTAAGTTATTCATCCAAATAATTTATATAAGACAGCTATTGTAGCAAATCACTTTGATATTAAAATGATATTCAATATAATAATTACATGTTACATAGTTGTACTTGCATTACTAACATGATATTAGTTAATAATAAAAATACTTGACAACTGTTTGAATAATCCTTCCAAATTAGAAAAATATATATATGACTATTCTATGCTTTAATCAAGCAGAATGTTAAATCTTTTTGGGTGGTGTTTAGAGGTACCATGAATGTCTATCGCATTATGTCGTCTACATGAACGGATTTATAAATGGTAGAAGTTAGAAGATGAGTAAAACGTAGGCTATTTCTGAGTAATTAATTTGATAGTGATTTTTTATTTAACTCTTTATCCATAGCTTATTAAATTGATATGTATAT